TGCTGAAGCCCGCCGAGGCCATCTGCCTGTGAAGCTGATGGACCAACCCAACCCAAGGGAGGAACGGTAGAAACAAAGATGGTATTGGAGAACGTGGACTGTGCCGTGTCTTTAGAGCCACACAACGAGCACAGAGCAGCGGGACTGCAGCAGTCGTCCTCGTTCACTAGCTGAGAGCAAAACTGCCATGAAGAACCCCAAACCTCCGTGGAGGTGGGGGGAGATGTTACCCTGCACACAGCATTCACCTTAAACAATGGGAACAAAATGAGTCGTTACCTTGGCTATAGAAAGAATTTTTTAATGCTCTGCCTGGGCTCAGCAGCAATACAGCCAGCCCAAAGCATCAGCAGCTTGTGACACAGACACGAACAAGGGTCACGGGCTGGAATTTTTGCAGTAAAAGAAAAATTGGCTTTCGCTAGCTCTTTTCCAGATATTGTAGGAATTCATATACCGTCCTCCTGGACCTAACATCCATCTGCTGGTACCAGCGAATGCCACCAACACCTCACCCTAGCCTACAGGAGTGATGCTGATTCCAGCCAGTTTTGCCACACAGAAATGATTTCATCTTCTCCTGCACGACCCGGCCAGCAGGAGTCTGACAGTGCTGGCAATGTGAGCCCACTGCAGAACAAGTTTTGCAGACAAGGGAGTTCAAAGGGAATGACAGAGAACACCAACCACCATCCAAAACCCTCCCAGAGCTTCTGATATTGAACCGTATCTGTTCCATCAGAAACTCACGGATCAGGATCTGTCAAATTACAGAATCCACACACACTACTAGGGGATTCAAGAGGACAGAGCTGTCGCAGCTGCAAACATCTACCAGGGAGACAACAGGTAACGAGGGTGAGGATGATGTGCAGATAACTGCAGTGAAGAGCTGGAGGAGTGGGAGATCTTGTCTGAAATACACGCCTCTCTTCTAGAGCCTCTCAGGATGTCTAGCATGCTTTCATCACATTTAAGTATCTGTGATATATTTAAATAAGGAATTGGTTTTAGTTCCTTTTTTCCATTAAAAATCTCTTTTCAGTTCAACCACTGTAATTCAAAAATAAATTATTCTCCAATAGACCATGTCATGATTAAGGATGTATCATACCTACTGATTTATCGTATCTGATGAAAACCCGCACGTGCAGAAGATTTTCTGAAGAGGGAGAATCACTGGGATGTGCCACTGTAAGTGGTACCAAAGCTGGAAATCTTAATCAGGGTCACTAACTAACCAAAACCAGAAAACGAAACACAGGTTTGATACCTCTCTGGGTCAGACCCAGTGCAAGTCAGGCTGGCTGCTGCCTTATGAATCGGAAATGCAGGGTCACAATCAAAGTGGAGGAGGTCAAGATTAAAAATTAAACCCAGCTGCCTACCTCCAGACTCATTTTGATGCTTCGCTGAACATCTGCCTTTGTTGTTGTTGCTCTGTGGTTTTTGGGTTTTTTTACAGAGCCAGGAAAGAAGCAAAAGGCACAGCAACAAGGAGGGGAAAAATAAGCGCAGACGTTCCAGAAGGCAAAATTTCAGTCAACCATGACTCAGGAGAAGAAAGTGCCACCCACTGCCCGGCACAGGGCGCAGCTCGGCCCGGTGGCAGCGGGTAGTGATGACGCGGTGAGTCAGGAGCCACCCACGCCGCTCCCCGCGGCGGCAAGGCGCTCCTCGGAGGGCTGCCACGCAGCGCAGGGCTCGCTCAGCCTTCCCTTAGCGTATGAGAGGTGACAGGGACACAGCCCCGGTGGGCTGGGACAAAGATGTCTGCAGCTCCCCCTCGCCCCCCTCAGGGCTGGGCCAGGGGACTCCCTCTGCACATCTATCCGCGTGGCTGCAGGGGAAATGCCAGCGAGGCCCCGTCTGGCAGAAGAAGGCACCCAGGACTGATGAGCTCTGTCATTTCACTTTGAACCATTGCGATGGTGATGAGCTGGGATCACTTTAGCGGGACTACAGCAATACAGCTGCGATGCTGCTGCTGAACACAGTTGCTCCAAAACATGGTTCGCCTGCTGCTATTCACGCTACAGCACATTAGCATCGGTATCTTCACTACTTTCTTCCACCTTTGTGATGGGTTTCATGGCATGGCCTCACAAAAACCAGTGGAGCAGCTACGTAAGGATGAGCCGTAAAAAGCATTTCAGCGAGTGACAGCACATACCCCTGCTACAGACCACGCTGCTGCCTACTATTTCTTCAAGAGGCAGTGAACATCGTTTTAAGGCGGTAACTGAGTCATCTGCCCAGGTACCAGGCTTCATAGCTCATACAGAAATTCTAGGGTTATCTAATCCCCAATCATATGCTGTGGCCAAAAACCAAATGAGGCAACGAGCCAAACAAGGGGCACATGAGAAAAAGGCATGAAATGAACAAGTGGAGGCTGGATTTGCTATGAGCATAAAACTCCCTCTATCACGGTATACTCACCGTCCCGCGATTCAGTATCTCTAGCGTGTGCATCGCCCTTCCCCAGCGCTACCCATGTTCTCCTCTGCGCGCGTAGCAAACGGTCACCTTGCCCTAAAAACCACTTTGGACTGGAAAGCCTGTCCGCAGCATGTCCTTAGCCGAGCTGCTTTCTCCCTGGAAGTCCTTACCTTCTTGCAGAGAACCATCTGGTGATCAAAGAGAAAGAAAACACGCTGCTGGTTCCGTCCATAAGGCTGGTAAATCCAGGACATCTCCCCCGTGTAGATCAACTCTGAGCTGCGGTCCAAGATATCGTCTCCCTAGAGGGCACAGAGAACGAGGCCGAGTGAACCGCTGCTCCCAGCCAGGGCAGTGGATACCTTTCTCTTTGCAGGATGAGGAGGAGCAATAATTAAATAAGGTTTTGGCCCTTCTGCAGCTCTCAGAGCTGCCCTGTCTGACTTTAGACCAGAAACTGGAGAGAGGGGATAATTCTGAAGGAAGGGAAATAAATAAAGTGTGAACACTAAAAACATGGTCGTTACAGTTCACCTTGCAATGAAGGAAGGAACAGAACTGCTGCTCCAGACCCGTTTTCCCCTCTCCAGGTACCCCCAGCCCCTGGCTCTTGCTGCAGGTGCCGCTGGCACCCTGAGAGCGAAACCCCTTCCTCCTGCCCGCAGCTGAGCCACTTTGGATTCAGGGCAGCAAACCCCCGGGCACCCCCTCCCTTTAAAACAGCATACCAAAGCACATCCCCCCCGAGATCTCCGGCCAGCTTCCGAAGTCATCTACACTGGGATACCAATTCCCCGACCCGGGAGGCTGCCAGGCCCCCCCCCTCCAGACTGTCGCCTCTCTTCCCACTCATTCAGCCAATTACAGTCCCTTCTCCCATCGCTCATTAGAGCTCCCCATCTCCCAAACGCTGTCAGGACCACCCCAGCTCCTCTGGCAGCCTCCGGCCCCCCGCCTGCCAGGATGCCCTCATCCTTTCTCTGCCTCCGGCGAACGCTTGTTTTTCCTCTCCGAGTTTTTTTTTTTAAGGATTCATGAGCAGATGGTCTATGAAAACACAGCGCTCTCTCTCCCACTCTCCGAGAGAACAAATGCAGTCACCCTCTGCTAATTGGGATGAGCTGGACTTTTTAAAAAGTTAATTAAAATCTATTTTTTAAAAATGGGTGAATTCACCACCACCTGCCCTGTGGGCATCCCAGTGCGTCTCTCACTCTGAAACACCGCGGGAGGATCAGGATGACTTCAGCTCAAAGGTAAGGGGCAGGATCCAGGAGCAAGTGAGAGAAAAGGTTTGGTTTTTTGGTTGGGTTTTTTTTTCCCCTTTTTGGCTCTGAAGCTAGTGCAGCTCTGGCTTTGATGCCAAATGAGAACCAGTTTCTGGGACAAGCCCATCCCCAGGTTTCAGCACACAGCTTGTGGAGGTTCAGCCCGTCACGGGGGCATCGAGGCAGGCACGCTCTGCTGGTACTGCTTACACGTGGAGGTGCCAAAGCAACCAAGTGGCATCCCCACTCCTCATTTCTTGGTGAGAAATGTGTCTCAGGAGGGTGCTGTCCGGGTCCCATTTCAGCCGTGGCACCTCCTGGCCAGAAACCAGGGACCACGCGCTGCTGCGACAGCTCAGCTCTAGGCAAACCCTCGAACAAGAAGTCTCTGGAGAAAACACACCATATCTCCAGAAATTGTGGGCTTTCCTGGCGAAATGAGAGCTTATACGGAGAAGATTCATACGAGCCTATGGATGGGAGCTTTTATGAGAGGGGGCGAGCCTAGAAAAGGCTGTCTGCTAAAAATACAAAGCCAGTTTTGTCTTTTACTCCCTGTGGTAGCATCTCAAGCCTGAGGACACACAGAGGACTCTGTAAACACTTCGACTTGATTAGCTGAATCCAAACTGCGTGGTCCCTGCAAGCAATATAAACCAAAAAAATCCAGATCTGAAATGATAGGATTTGTATTGCCTTTTTTCTGTTGGGAAAACAATTTTTACATACAGTCTATAGGCTTGAAATAGATGATTTCCAATGCTGGGTTAGTAAATTTGAAAATATATCTTGCAAGCAAATAGTTTTGGACTAGCACACGGCTGGCCAGCCTTCAGCCCCCGCGAGCAGCATCGCCACAGCCCTGCCTGCTCCTCGAGCCCGGGGCTGCTACAGCACTACACCAGCGTGGCTGCACCGCTGGAGCCTCCCAGAGCAGATGCAATGAGCCTTGAAAGACATTTTTTTTCTGACACAGTTATACCACCTCTTTGCACAGCATCCGCTGTCTCCTGTAAGGTGAGCATCCCTATGGGGGCCTCAGGGGGTCAGTTACAGGGTGGTGGGCAAGGAGGGAAGCGTTTGCTTTTCTGCTCCACTGCCAACATCCCTACCCCACGCTTCGATACTTGGTCCTGACTTATGGCAGTGCCTCTCCCAGTCCTTCTCTAGAGCCAGTCCCAGGCCTGGATCCCTCCATCCCTATATAAAGTGAGGAAAAAAAAAATTTCTTTTCCTTTTCCATATTTTTTCCAAGCAACTCCTAGAGAGGGTGGATCATCTATAACCTAAATGCTTTTATATAAGAAATGCTTCTAAAAAGGGAAGAGGCTGAACTTTTAGTTAATCTGAACTGGCAGATGTCCCACTGGCTCCAGCAGAGCCCAGCAGCAAAACGGCCAAGAGAAGACTAGATGAGGTCCCTTCCCACCTGAGTTCAGGTATAAGCCTAGAAGAAAAAAACCTCATCCCCCCGCAGCCTGCATCAAGGGCTTTCACTGCACATCCTGCTCCATACAAAGGGCAGCAAAAAGAAGGCTGACTCCTCTTTTCCTCACGCAGTGGCAGGCAGAGTCGAATGACTTAGTGCGCAGTAATGGGAGCAGAAGGTCGCCCAGATCCGCGCTGGATGCGTGCTCCACGCTCCCCCGAGCCTGCTGGCGCTGGAGTGACACAGGGAGACCTGGCTGATCCCAAGCGCTGCAGCAGAGGGTCAGCTCTTCTGTGGCTGCTACAGAAAGATGTCGATCGTCAGCTCCCCAGCGAGGCCCCCAGTGACCACCACTTGCTGTAAGGAGGAACTGGGAGGAACTGTTATTACCGGTGTCACGGAAGAAATGCTGTTGGGAGCATCGGCAGAACGAGGGAGGGCACGGCACTGCGAGCTGCAGGACGTCACAGCTCCCCGTCTGCCTCTCTGCTCCTTCCCACGAGCAATCCCTGAGCAGATGCTGTCCCAGCCTCAGAAATTCTCATCGGCCCATCGGACCCGCTCCCCTGCGCCCCAGCCCACCTCCTGACATGGCTCTTTGCTGTCACCGCTGGGCACAAAATCCCCTTGCCTAGTTAGCATTCAGCGAGCAGGGCTCTCTTCTGCCTGACACCGCTGTTCTTTAATTAGAGATTGACAGGCTGATTAGCACGCTGGGCTACAGAGAGATCAGAAAAAGGGAAAGGGAGAGAAATGTTGTCCTTTTCATCAGGCTCATTTTTGATACCTTCTGTTGCTGGGAGAAAAAAAAAGAGAAGGATCTGTTTCAGTCTCTGACGTGATTTTTTTCCCAGGAGGATTTCTCATCAGGCTGTCCTCACTTTGAAAACAGTACGGTGGTTGCATGCATTTATTTTTTTTCATGTCATTCTTGGATTCAACAACATAACATTAGGCTGAGGCCAGCTATTATATATTACATAATTAAGGGCACCAAGCCTCGATTTAAAGGACCCGTAAATAACAAGAATGGGAAGAAATTTAAAAGGACAGTGTTCATTATATTTCTCAATTATATATATTTCTCCCTTCATGTAAATTTAATACTCTTGAAACCTGCCCACAGTGGCAACCCATGGGAATCTTTGGTAGAAATATCTAGATATCTACATAAACCAAAGTAATCTGTTTAAAGAGCAAAACTAATCCAGGGCGATGAGCAAAGCTCTCTCCTGCGCCAAACATCCCGCCACCGGCTCGAGGACCTCCATCGATCCCCTCCCAGGGAATGGATGCCACATCACCTCCCTCCTCCGAGAAAAACCTGGGCTGAAAGGGAGGAGAGCATCGCTGGCGGCTGCCAGGAGGGCTGGAGAGGGAGCCTGCAATGCTGCAGGGATCGCTGCTTCATTTTGTTTTGTCACGGTTCAGGAGCTGCATGAAAAGGCCCAGAACAGAGCAATTCCGAGGTCTGCCGAGGCGCCGG